AATAGTAATAATAATAATAATAATAATAATAATAATAATAATAATAATCATATAACAATATTATTGTTTGCAGTCATATTACTCTTAGATGAATAGCCAATTAACAATATTGATAAGTCAGGACATTGTGGTAATGATCAATGTAGTGAATAGATATAAATTAGTATATGCAAATTATGGCTTTTCGTTACGGTAATGAATGGAATTGACTGATCAGATTTACAAAAAAATAGAAGAGAATAAATTCAGAAGTTCAGTAATGAAAGTGATAGCAATGTCTTAGCAATAAACAGTAATAACAATTTGCTGGAAGACTAAATTTTTCTTTCACTAAAGCAAGCAAATAAAATAAGAGTCTATCATTAATATGAAATTTGACTAACCGATTGGATTGGATTGGATTGGATTGACAGTTCTGCTTCGCAAATTTGACGAAAAAGCAAGAAATGGAAGCCAAATTTTGATGTTTTATTAGATTTGAGGTTTAATTAGTCGCAGCAAGCAATTGCGAGGCATAATAGAAGATAGAATTTGTTTGAATAATTATTTCAGTGTTATTTATAAACACAGAACTTTAGAATTGTGAATAAAAGTAATTTTCAGAACATTTTATGTACTCTTTTAAACTATTTATAAGTAAATATATTATGAGAAAATTCAAACTTTAGCTTGAAACTTCATATTCAAGAAAAAGTTTTCTTTTTCTCACTTTACATAGCTTAGATAAAAACGTAAGAAAGTATTAATCTCAAGAATTTTTACACTGTGTAAATATAAAAATATATGTATTTGTTGTCTATGCTACTTATTTTTCAAATGAACGCTGACCCCAACTTGCGAATTTTCGACAATCACAAGAAGTACTATTCGAGCAACATGCGAATTCGTATTAATTTGATAAGACTTAATGATATTTTTAAAATTAAGTAAAATTTTTCATAAATGTAATGGCTGCTGAACAAGTTTATTAACTAATTAGTCCCTTTCAAAGTGTATCAAAAATACAAATGCAACTAACTATTATTAAATACATTTAGACCTCAAAATTCAGTAATGAATAATAGATAAGCAAAATATTTTATAAATAATATTCCACAATGCTTATATATATTTCATTTTAATACCGAAACGATTTTAATTTGGCATAATTTTTGTTCATCGATAAAAATTAATCCAAATGATTTTCGGTCCTGGGCAAAATCTAAATTTTGTTGAACATTTCTCAAACAGTTTGCATAATGAACCGACTAAAAGTTCAATGCCTTTCATTTTTATGATAATTTTGCGATGTCTTATCACTGAGAATATCATAACTTACCAAATATTTTGGATTTTACTATTTATTTCGCCTAAATTTTGACTTTAGAATATTATTTTGCAATATTTTAAGCACAAAAAGTATTAAAATGTATTAATTATTGAACTAATCTAATTTTCTTCTGCATTAAATGATACAACTTAAAATCATCGCAATAGACGATTTAAAATTTATTGATAAGTCAGTAAATATTAATTTATATTTAAGATTTTGACTTGCTTTTTGCAAATTTTCCATGAAATGTTGCAGAAAAAATTGTATTATCTACGAGTTTATTCATTAATTTTAAATGAGCAATCAGTATATAGCATATTTTCATACCCAAAACTTTGGTATACTAAATAGTTAAGTTTATCTGTAGTATGTAAGTTTAAATTAATCAATAAACTTTAGAAACTGTAGTTAAAAGCAAAGTTATTATCTATAAAACTTAAATGTCCCCCAAATAATTCTGTGAAATCGCAGACTTTAGATGAGAAGAAAATTTATATTTTAGCGATTAACTTTTTATTTACAAAAATGTCATCCAAAGAGAAAGTATAGAGGCAAAGTTCAAATTTGATTTACAGCATATATGAGTAATGAAAGAATTGAGTATTCAAAAACATTGTTCAAAATTACAAACTTCACCAGAACTAATTTTAGCACATACTGATAAGAAAAGAAGTAATAATAATCCAAAATAGAAAACAAACATTGCAACCTTTTCGACAGCAAATCTATTTTCGTTCCTACCAAAGAACTAAAAGACTTTCATGACAGTTTATTGATTTCTATTTGGGTAAATTTTTGAAAAAATGAATCTGTAAGAATGCACATGTAGTTTGAATTTTCGTATTCAAATTTTATTCCTGAAAATTAAGCATCCGTTCAAAGCTAAAACAAATCGTTCCTTATTTTGGCTCAAAATTTACATAATTCGCCTTTACATGTCGAGTCATCTCTAAAGTAATAATTGTAGTTAGTGTGATGAGACTTAATACTTTCTCATCATGCAAAAAACGATGGAATCCATTCAGTTCTGATGACATTCTATGCCAGAATGCTTTACCAGTTCAAAAATTAACATTGATATGATTTGAACTTTGACACTGCACAATCATTTTAGATGTATTCTTCTATTTCAGTCCTTATCATCTTTATTAAATAATATGCTCAAATTTTAACTTAGCACAAAAAATTTTCTAGATGTCAGCAGAAGTCATCTGACTTAGCATATTCTACTTCTACTTTACTCAATAATAAATATTTTAAACCTGATTTTCACTAACATTTAATTCACCTTCAATCATCAATCCCAATTATATGTCTTTCATTTTATGGTAGTTTTGGAGCTCTGAGAAAATATTTTGTGTAGTGTATGTATACTTACTACTTGCGATGCAAAGAATACTTCAAACTTTGGAGTACAGAAAACTTTGATAACAACTGTTTATTTTGCAATTGCAATACTACAATTTGTTATTTATAAAGTTAATGATGCTCTCTATAAGCATGACCTCTGCCCTCCCTCAGAATTTATTTGCGTTAAATAAAGAAGAATAAGTCAAATATGTTAATAACCATTTATGATATAGGAACTAAGACCTATTTCATAGAGATTATTGTTAAACATGCAATATTATTATACGTTCCTATGAATGTCCAAATGTAGCAAGTAAATTTTAACCTGCAAATTTCTGATTATATCACTTCTGATTATCACTTCGATTTCTGGTTATATCACATCTGACTATCATTACTTTTAGTAAACATGAGTGGTGAGATGGAAAAGAGTAATTCAGCACAGTTCAGAATATAACATTTTGCAAATCATTTGATTTAATCTCTTCACACTAAATTTCAGTCTGTTTTGTTTTACAGTCCCTATTATTATCTTTGTACTTATTTTACTTAATTAACCAAAAAGTCGCAGACTTAATCATTTATCGAAATAACGCACCGAACTGCACATCAACACTAATTCCAAGTTCAAACTAATTTTCAGCAGGTTTGTGCTCGATTTGCTAAATCCTTTAAGCGCCAAGTTCATGGAATGTACTCGTGATAGTGATTGCTTTGGTCCTTTACAGATAGCTTAGATTGCATTACTTTTTGGAAGTATTCGCATTCAGTAAATTCTGTTTAGATGTTTGCTTTAATTCGTTTGTTACGTGTTAAGTCAGAAACGAAATCTGTCTTTTCTTCAGAAAATTTTACTATGTGTTTTGATTTTTGTTTGCTTGTTTCTTATGCAATTAATCTTCATTTTAACTGCAGAAGTTAAGCTGTTTATAAGCTACTCTCAGTGCAAGTTGAGCAGTCTTATAATGTATTTCGTATGGCATACTTTAAACTCTTACTAATTATTGAATCATTTCTGTCCATTAGTCTCACCTCCCAAATTACTAAAATTTTAATGAAAATTCATTTTACATTTAAGCTGTTTAAAAGATTGCTTTAACTGTACTATAATTAGGTCTTGTATTACTGTTAAGATATTGCAGAGTCTACCATAAAACGATGGCATTAAGGTTTTATTTGTATTATGCATGTTGATAAGAACATTACCAAGATCACAAAAAAATGTTGAGAGTAAGTTCAAAGATTTGTTTGTTTCAAGTATTTGTGAAAAATTAATTTTTAAAAATACAACAGAACTTGTTGAATAATCTGTTTTCAATGATTTGTGTTGTACAAAAGTTGTATCAGTTTTCTAAAAATGAAAATGGAGTGAAGTTGTTAATCGCTTTCATGACTAAATTTTACCGCGTATACGACTAAATTTTACCGCGTAAAATTTGTTATACAAGTTGTTATGGTCAAAACTTTTTGGAATCATTGTCGTTAAGGCTTTACTCTACTATATCTTTTGAATAAAATCGTTGAAATTTTTTTAAAATAATTAACAAAATAAAATATGTAAAAATTGGATTTTTTTTTCTGTTTTTTTAGTTGATATCGGCAGTGTTATCCTTTCAGTTCACAACTAACCCAATGGATTTCGATAAAGAATGGATAGAAGCGAAAAATACAGTCATATCATTGCTAAATCGAAAGGTTTGGTTCTATAAATTTAGAAATTTAAATATAGCGAAATATCGTAACATTTCATACTCTCACAGAAATTAGGCAGGATCTATTAATTAAGTATTTTTTTTGGCTTTGCATTATTTTGACATGTTATTTTCTAAATTTGACAGAGCGTGAGCAAAGCGCAATGGCAGGAACTTTTCGCCACTGTTCATCGGATCTGTTCATGGATTGAAGGTGGCTGTGATATGGTTCAAAGAGAGTTACAGTTAGAAGTTCACAATTACATTCTTTCCGCTGAAAAAGTAAGTGACTGAAAATAGATTTAAAAGATTCGGCAGACTTCTATAGTTTGGTTCAAGTTCCCTAAAATTTTCAATCGTAAAATCAACCGAATATTGCTGAAGTAAATAGCTCTTCGTGAAACAGTTATGAGGAAAATATAGTTGAGTATTATCATTTCAGCTCATTATGCAACAAGAAGAGGAAAGCGCGGTTCTAAGAGTTTACATTTTGGAGTGGAATAAATTTTATTCACAAACGGAATATCTCCCAAAACCTTTCATTTATATTACAGAACAAAAAAATTTAATGATGAAAACAAAAAAAGGTTATGTCAAACAAGCTAGCACTTTGATTTCTTCGGTTCGTTATTTTTTTTTGCTGTACAAAGTGGAGTTAGAAAAATGAACTTCACGAAATTAATGTTCTTATCAAAACGTGTACTGCTAAAAAATTTTCTGTTACGTAATCTTTCTCATGCTCAGAGTTCTTTTCAACTCAAAATTTTATTTAGTTATCTCACTTTTTGCCTTCTTATTTGTTTTCAAAAATGAGTGTACCTAATTTGCTCATTTTTGTAGTGAGAGAACAATATTGAAAGCTGCATCATTTGTGTTCCTTAGTAATGTGTTTATAATAATTAGTGTGAAATAAGTTTCAGCAATATGGAACACTTTCTATGTATTTGCTGGTAGCTTTTACTTCATCAATATACTTCAATTAATTTTGTAAAACATTTGTTAGATAATGTTGAATGATTGGAGTGAAACAATTTTCGCTGCAATAAAGGACAAGTTGCAAAATGCTGCTATGTGTTTAATTGAATCTGAACGCAATGGTGAGGCATTCGATCCCCAGCTAGTTATTGGGGTTCGACAGTCATATGGTACTTTTCATTTTAAATTGATTTTCTGCAACTTTCAATAAAATTTAATTCCGTGATATCACTTCATTTTATAAAACATGTTCCCAGTGTTTTAAAAGGCTTGAAAAAGTTTTCGTGACTCAAGTTATGATTCTCAAATTGTCAAAATATGCACAGAACGGTGCATTCCTTATCAAGTTCTCATAATTTATTCGAGAAATAATTTTATTTATTTATTTTATTCTAATTTATTTTCAGTATCACTAAATGTAAATGATAAGGACAGTTTAGCAGTGTATAGAGATAATTTTGAACGAGCTTACATCGATGATACCGAACGATTTTACAGATCGTATGCTCCTCAGGTATTTGAAAAATATCAGTTTCTTCAAACTCATGTTATCAGTTTTTGTCATAAATTTTTTCACTTCAACAGGTTCTGTCTTCGGAAGGTGTACAAAACTATATGATCTATGCTGACACAAAATTAAATGAGGAACAAATACGAGCTAGCCGTTATTTGGAGAGTACAGCAGATTCCATAGATAAAGTTGGTCACATTTTGTTTTCTTGATCAGTCAATATTTTCCAGAAATTTTTCAGTCTTCTAATTAATCACAAAATATTCAGTTGGTGGAAAGATGCGTTGAAGTCCTTGTTTATCAATTTCAAGAACAGATTTTAGCTGAATGTCCAGCATTGATCAGTGAAGGAAGAACTGATAGTATGGCTTTACCTTTTTTTATTGTACAACGCGTATATTCATTACATATATTGTCCACTCCAGACAACTTTTTGAACAGTTACTGGATAACTAATATTTAAGGGCGTTTTAGTTTCTTAGAGATAAGCATGTCGTTCATCAAGGTTGTGCTTTTCATAACTTTTATATTGAAAAATATATTTCATTAGTTTAATCAGCTTTTTGAAAAATAATTCAAGTAGTTTGTTTTGACAACCCATTAAGTATTTTTTCTTTAGAGTTAATCAAATCGTTAACTAATTTATATTTAAGAGCTAAGATTGTTGTATCGGCTAATCAATCGTACATCAAATGGTATTGATAATATATTAAAGTTCTTAAGTGCTTTTATTAAAGCAGAAGCTTTAAATGACATGAGAGCAAATTCATCTACTATAACTACAGTAAGTCGCTCGATCATTCATGTTTTCGTCAAGTCTACAAATCTTCATATTTGAACTAAAAAAGTGAAAATGTACATTTTATTAGTGATACATTGCTTTATAGGATCCGGAAAAGTATGTAGAGCAACTATTATCGATGTTTTTGAAATTTAGCATTCTTATCAAGGATGGTTTTTATGATGATCCACGTTTTTTAACAATGCGAGATAAGGCTTTTCAAGATGTTGTGAACGACACTTGTGTTTTTAAGATGGAAATTATAAGTTCGAAAGGAAGAGGGTATATTTTTTTCTGTGTTTTAAAATGTCGTTCAACTTATCTTTCTTGTTGGTTCTGTATATATTTATGGATTTAACATATTTTAATTATCTATCTCGCTATTTAAGTTTAGGATCTATGGAAGCACTCTATGTAAACTGATCACAATCACCGTTTTTCAGAACTAATCGAAGTCAAGCTGAATCTAGGTGTCCTGAACTGCTCGCCAATTTCACTGACCTTTTGCTCAGGAAAACGAGTCTTTCAAAGCGTTTAACTTCCGAAGAAGTAGATGCGAAGTTAAATGATGTGGTTTGCAATTATTTTTTTAAGCTCTTTTTAATTGTAAATACTTTTTTTGAGCATATATTTTCATTCAGCTCTTGGTTCTGAAATATGTGCAAAATAAGGATATATTCATGCGATACTACAAAGGACACCTAACTCGAAGATTGCTTCTTGAGACTAGTGTAGACCAGGAAAAAGAAGAACAAATGATTGCAAAGTCAGTAAATTGTTTCCGTTTTTAATACCAAAAGTTTGATTTTCTTGCTTATTCAAATATCTTAGTTTCTTGTTAAATATTTGTAAATCGCATTAAGTGCGCAATCTCATTAACCCATAAAGTTCAATTTGCAGCTTACTTTGTGTGTTAGAAAATAATCGTTGTTTTCATTCGTTGAGTATGAGAACAGTGTATTTTTTTTACAACAGGATGAGAGAAGGTGGAATGCCAGCTGATTATATTAACAAGTTACTCCGTATGTTGCAAGATATCGAAGTGAATAAAGATTTAAATAATTCCTTCAGAAATTCATTTACATCAAACGGCAGATATCTTGCAGGTGTTCCTGATTATTCTCGCTTATTTTATATGCACTACATAAAGTTCTTCTTCAATTTATCTCTATAATTCTCTAATTTGCATCTAGATTATGCTTGAATTTATCAGTAGATTTACACACCTCTTACGATTATTTATTTTGCATTGTAGATTCGATTTCTATCAAAGTTTTGAACGCTGGTGCGTGGTCACGTGGCACTCTAGATCGGACGCAGATTCAGATGCCTCGAGAATTAGAAGATTTTATTTATGAAGTTGAGGATTTTTATCGTAAACAGCACTCAGGACGAAAATTGCAGTGGCACCATCATTGGTCACACGGCACGGTAATTAATTTACAACTTCAAAAAATTTTTGTGAAGGTCAACATTCCATAATCATATTATTTTTCAGCTGATTTTTACAAATGCAATGGGAAAATTTGATTTGGATGTCACAACTCTACAATTATCCGTATTATACTGTTGGAATGATCGTCCACATGCAAAGCTTTCATTTGAATGTTTACATACTGCCTCACAGCTTTCTGCTCCTGAACTTGCTAAGACTTTATATGTAAAAATTTTATATTTTTTTAAATTTAAGTTCTTTAGTAGTAACATCTTTTAAAATACGATATGGTTTCAGATTATGACTCATTGTTTAACAAGTTTTCGTAAATATAATTTATAAAAACTGGCAAAACCTATGATGTAATGAAAAGTTATCGATTTACTCGAATAATGAATGATAGTTTTTACATCTAGATATTTTTTCAGTCTTTAGTGGCATTTCCCAAAATACGACACCAAGTGCTGTGTACCAATTCTTTGACCTTAAATCCACGCGACTTTAATGATTCAACACTGTTTTGGATAAATCAACAGTTTGCTGTTGTAAAAGTATGTTTTACTTACAAGAGAGATATTATAGAATTGTTGTGGGGATAGATGTCACGGCAAATAACACAGTTAATTCTTGTCAAAATAGACATGAGTAGTGCTTTTAGTATGAACTAATATGTAGTCATCTTCATTTGGTATAAATTATATCAAAGTGCTTATCTTCTTTTCTTTTCTCTTAGTTTCTTAAATTTGTTTCAGATGTTTTCAAATTATTATTTTCCTAAGAATCTCTGATTTTTCATTAGTATTATTTATCTGTTTCAATAAATAAATCTTTTTATGAATATTGTAAAAAGCAAAATTTTCTATTCAGTCATCACTACACATATATAATTTTAACTAAGGTTATTTTCAATTTCAGTATAGTAATTTAAAACTTGCTTATTAAATCTTAAATTGAATTAAAAATGCTCATATCCATAGGGTTTTCACGAAAAAAAATGCTTTGAAAATTTTTTAGAATGGCAAAGAGCAAAATCGTGGTCGGATCAATTTAATTGGTCGTTTACCGCTATCATCAGAAACAAATGTACAGTTGGAACATGATGATATTATTGCTTTACGTGTGTTACGGGTACAGGAAGCTATTGTTAAAGTAAATTGATTACATTTTTTTTCTTCTGCTGCCCTTTTATGTTAATGCAGTTTTGCACTTTAGTTAATTTACTTGGACTTTGCATGTGTTGTATAATTCATTTACCTAATAAGAGTGAGTTATACAGTATAATGTGTTAGAATGATTTTTTTTTCTCAAAAAAATACTGGCTAGGGAGAGTTGAGAAAGTTTGACATCGCTGAAATACGTTTAATATCAATGTGTAAAAATTGCTTAAACGGTAAATAATTCAGGTACTTATGGTTACAGGTTCAGGAGTTAAAATATGGTATTTTGATTATTTCTTCTAGAGATACTTCAATTCCGTTGATTTTTTTCTACTTACAAATATAATTTACGTTAATCGAAAAGCTGAAGGAAAATCGCTGTTTGATTGCATACTTTTTATGAGGTATTCCATAATTGATCTTACTTGATTGTGTATTATTTACCAGGTTATGAAAGTCCGAAAACGTTGTCAAAGTGCACAATTGCAGACAGAATTGATTGAGTTATTAAAAAATATGTTTTTGCCGTCGAAGAAGTTAATAAAAGAACAGGTAAGTTTATAAAGATTTCTAATTTTTCCAACACAAAATTTTCGATAAATATATTGCTGAGTGCTAATCCCAAGCTTCTACTGATAGATTAATATATTATTCAGAAAGTTATATCTCTTCTCTGAATGTAAATGAAAAAATTTCAAAAATACAATTATATCAGCTGCCTTAAACTGCATAAATCATTTTTTCTTGAAAATTTTGTCGATTTTTCAGATAGAGTGGCTGATCGAGAATAGATTTATTGATCGAGATCCATATGATTTAAACTTTTTTCTGTATGTTACGTAAAAATGCCAAAACAATTATTTTAGAAGTCACGAAAACTAAATTGTTTTATGTTGTTAATAATTTTGTACTTTGCGAAGGTTATATATATATATTATCGAATTTATAAATACTATATTTTCACAGTTTGAACATTTTTTTAGATTATTAGTCAGTCAGAAGTGTTTTTTTAATGAGTATTTGTTTTGTCGCCAAGCAAATAAAAATTTTATGAAGACATTTTATCTGTTTCATGATCATTAATGAGGTCAGTATATTTCATGCAGTCTGGAATGCAATTTATAGCAGCTCTAATTTATTCGGGTCAGTCTGTGTTAAGTTCTGTGATTCTTTGCATGTGTAAATAGCTCGAAAAATTTATTTGCTCATTAGTGATTTGATTTTCTAAAGAAGAAAGGGAAATTGCTTTGGAATCTATTATTTTCTACGATCTGCTATATTTAACTACTCCTAAGAGTCGTTATTACCATAATCGCATGTGCAACTTCCATGTTTTTTGAAATTTCTCTTTAGTAAAATTAAATTGCTTGCTTTTCTTACGTGCCTATAAAAACCATTCATTCTTAATCCTTTTAATTAGCATTTGTAAAGTTCAGTTGGTAATTAGTTACATTTAGAATTTGTATTTGTGTATTTATAAATTGTGTGTTAAATTTCGTACATGGGTTGGTTTTTCTTCTTTCAAAATTAATGCGATAAAACGATTTTTTGTTATTTTAGGAGATTTGGGTTGGAATTTTGAAGTAATTTGAACTCTTAAAACATTACTGCAAGGTATTTCGTTTCATCGTGTCGAGTATTTACACTTTCAGTCTATGCATTTGAGGTGGTACACAAGTTGCATATATTATCATTTTGCTTTAGTTATGGGTAATAAAATTTTTGAGCTCGTTTTGTTCCACCTTGCTGAGCAGAATTGAGTAGTGCTTTTTATTATATCGATGTTAGATGCAGAAAGCTAGTTCGATTTCTTTAATTTACTTACGTTCGTTCTTCATGTTTTTCTGGACTACAGTCATGTTGGAAATTGGCGATTTTTGGAAAGAAGAAGGAAATGGAACTAAAATTCCATTAATCTGAAGTAGTGATAGAATCACTGCTGATGAATATTTGATTGTGCGTGTCGGAAGTGGTGTTATTTAATCTATCTAAACAAATCTGGCTTTAAATTCTTGAGTACTTTCACAGTGTTAAGTAAGATTTGAGTTGGTCAACTCCTTTTGATCCCTTTTTTATTCAAATTTGATGGGAATTTTGGTGGGGAATGTTGCCTGTTAGCTTCACTATCAAAGTTTGCTTAATATCTGAAGTCACACCTCATTAATTTATTGATGTGCATAAATAAATAGTAACTGCACAGATTTATAAGAAAGAACAGAATTTATTAAAAACCTTCACTTCTAGTGAAGTACAGTATGCAGTATTTGTGAATTTTGTGTTCATAATAAATTTGCTGATCGTTATATATGAGTCTTAGAAGAACGCACAAAAGCACAGTGTTTTAAGCCACAATGAAGTGTTGTACATTTCTTTTGTGCCCTTCAGATTTGTGAGATTCAATGGTAAGATGCAATATAATTGTCATGAATTTAGTTTTTACTGATGTAAAGTTAGCAAAAATGTTTCTTTTAATGGAAAAATTTTGAATTTTCAGTTCAATTTATCTTCTTGTACTTAATAGTAAGTTGCAGATCGTAGTTATGTGCCAAAGTTACAGCTCGACGTGCACATTCAAATTTATTACGCTTGGTGCTATATTTGTATTGCTTGCAATGAATTCTTGTACAATATTGTAATCAAAAATTTGTAATCAAAAATTTGTAATCAAAATTTGTAATCAAAATTTGTAATCTTTGTAATCAAAAATTTTGATTTGAATCAAATCACAGGACAAGCGCTTCTTATTGAGTATTTCAGCATTGGTTATTGAAACTATTTGAAAATTAAACTTTCGTTAGGCATAAAAGAAATTCTTGAATATTAGTCTGTTTTCGAAAATTTCTTTGAAGAGTTATTTATCTTCTGAAATTGCTGAATTTAATGTGTTTATTCCGTATTTTTTTAAATCGAGTATCTATTTTAATTGTTTTCTATACAAATTATGTTTACAGTATTACAGTTAGAGAACTTTTCATCCAATTTCACAAATATATCTAAGAATTTTTGCGAATACACTGAGTTTATTTGTCATTTTCATGCATGTATAATTAAAGCCCAAAATACATACCTTCAGACGAATTGTACCACAATAAAATGTTAGATTGTAAAAGTTTGAGATGTAAAAACCAGTCCAGCTATTACCATCATTTAATCACAATTTAAAGGCTTGCAGCACTTTTTTAATTAGCCAATTATCTCTCAATAAATTCTCAAGAAGATAAAAACTACTTCTAACTTCACTGCACTTTTTGCAGGACTGTAATGTTGTAGTCAACAAATGAATACGACAAAAGCATTCATTAAAATAGTGTAATAGATGTTAATAATCGTCCTTATCCATCCTGTCCTGTCCTGTCCTTATATTACGATTACTCTATCATGTGCTGTGATTCTTCTACCTGCTATTTGCTTATTTTTTATTTCTTCTATTTTTTACAATTTGTTTTACATGGCTTTTTATCTTTCAATTCTTAATTACCTATCCAGTACATATTGAGATAAATACTCTTAAATCGTATTATTTTTGTATTTCACCAAGAAAATTTGACAGTGAATTTGAAAATTGCGCACGAGAAGTATTATATTCTCAGAACTGTTCTTTTTTTAAAAAAAGTGTTGAATAATAATCACAAAAATATTATTTATTGGTTGCAATCCTGTGTAATTCCAAATTTGTTTAAGAAAAATGCGCGCTAATTATTCAATCTTTCTGCTAAGATTCAAGTTGCGCGCTAATTATAATATGTGCAAGTTAGTTCTTGATAAGATTCTACATTTATCTTATCAGTTTGAATCTTATCAGTTGACGTGAAAAGTTTGATTCTATACGTATTATAATTATTTCTGCGTGAATAGCAAAGTAATCAAGGTTTTGAAAAATATATAAAAATAAGCTTGCAAAAATTTTTTGTTATCCAAAATGACTGATTCAGTTAAAATTATAGGCATGCATTATTCTTCATTCTTCAAATTATTAGGCCTAATGCATTTTATTTCATTTTTGGATTTAATGCCTTTTTTTAGAAATCACAATTTTTGCATATTTTTATTACAGGAAATGTGGGGATTATGCGAGTTGAGCTTCTGATTTTCATTTTAATTGAAAGCATTTTTTGCAAAAATACTAAACAAAGACTTATGACATTGTTGAAAACTAACTTGAAATTTTATGACCAATGGATACATCTTGTTGAGCAACAGGTATAATATCCTTCTATTCACAATTAAATATATGTAAAGATGGAATTAGATTAACTAATAATAAAATAATAATTAATCTGCATAGATTTTTATAATAATAAAAGATACGTGTGTATCAATTATTTGACGTCAATTTCACACGCAATATTCAGGCAGTCCTCTGATGTGATAATTTTTTCTGAAAATAATACTTAAAACTTACTATGAGTAACAGCAAAAAAACTGAGTCAGTCGAGAATGCAACTAATAAATTCACATTGCGTGCTTACATTCGTCTTTTAATCATATAAAGTATGTTTTTTGAATAAAAACATGACATCTAAATGGTGACTAAAGTAAAAGTATAAACAATTAAGTTTATTTTTTTAATTATTCGGTCTTGAAAGGTAAAAAAAACACCATTTGGCTCTTGATTACAATGAAATTTTAGCACCGACAAAAGCATCAACAAAATATTACCACTGCGCTCAAACAGATCAATCATACAATGATGAATTGCACGTCAAGTTGGGGAATGCATATGGATCACGTTGATAACGTGCGACCAGCAGATATACAACTTTATGCTGAATTAGGACAATTAACTCGTTATTGCGAGGACAGCATTTTAAAGTTGATTACCGGTAAATTTAAATGCAAATTCAATGTACCAAAATGAAGCTAGTGTACGACAGCATCAAATTGTGTGTGAAAAATTATTTGCGTTTAGCCGATAAGTATCAGTCAAAATACGCAATGAATTAATTAATACTCAACAAATTTGTTAAATAATTGGAAAGTTCAAGGAAATAAACGTCACTTAACGAAGTATATACCATAAAGTTGAAAATAATGATAAGTATCTGAGAAGAACAAAATTTCTATTAAAATAAAGAATAGGGATCAAATCTGACGCTTCTTCTAAATGTAGCATATTGAAGGTGAATTAGATTCTTGCCAACATGCAAGCTACACTAGTCCTTGGCCATCAATAGTGAAACTTTTGATGAATTTCAACCGTAACATGACAGTTATCGAATCGTCACACGACAAACAACTTGAAAATCAAACGGAATATTTAGTACAAAAATTCATAAAGCATAAAAATTGGCGAAATAAGTGGAAAATGATTGTTATTATGCCAAGTATGGAGGTATACATTAAAATTCTTGCTATGTATCAAATTGCAATTAAGTTTAGTCTATTTTATTTAGAAAATCTTTGATAATTTTTTCTAGGACGGTGAACCGAAAGAACCAGAACAGTCAGCAGTAAAAGTAATGAAGTCTATTAAACGTTTATATGAAGTAGTACCATATCGAACAGTATTAATTGTGGTACGGAGTTCTTCGTTACAGTTATGGCGTGATGCGTCTAACGCGCATCGAGCATGTCAAACATTACTTCAACCTTGGAAACTTTATGAAAAATTGAATCCTGTTTCTGTTTGGGACCAAGTTAGTTAATCTGCAGTAATGATTAGTTACTAGTCTTAAATAATCAGTGTTATGATTCAAACACATAATTCAAATAATCTACTCAGTCTGGTTTAACTTTACATATACAGGTGTACGCTTCATTGTTAAAAGTTACAATGTGTTAAAATTCATTATAGTTAAATCATATTGCTTTGATATTTTAAGATTGAAAAAATCTGTGATTTATACTTTCAAAATTCTCACTTTACTGTGCAAATTTTGCCTCTTCTGAAGAATTCTTCGCTGGCATATTTGACTGGTACTAAAGAGTAAGTTACCGTTATTACCAAAAACAATTTACTCATAAATAAACCTTTCATTTATTTAATCTTTCAGTTGCAATTTTGAATAGCAAATGTTTTTTGGTAGATTAAAAATGTAAATTGTATCATTGTGAATGATAAAATTAAATCGTCTTAGTGATAATTACTTTTACTTCAGTTTGTTTTCTAAATTCATCAAACATTTAAATGATTTTCAGAATTGACTTATCATTGCTTGGCCATGATTGCGTGCATTTTTCTCCACACGGTTTATCATTGCTTCACGTAGCAACGTGGAATGCACTTTTTACTAAATCTCCTGACCGTTCGCAAAATTTTGACTTCTCGCAATCAAAACCTCAATGCGCTGATCCAATTTGCCCTTTTATTAGAACTAGCAAAAACAGTGCTTTTTGCGTCTGGAATCCATCAAAAGTAAGTTTGTATTATTGCTTTCAATTAACTAATTTGTGTACTTAAATAAAAAAGTTGATTTTCAATAGAAGATAACACTGATATACGAGAAGCAACTTTCTAATTTTTAGTGCTCGAGCTTAATTTTTAATATATTTGCTGAATGTCGGCTTAAGATATCATTATCTGAATTCATACTTCAGATGAGTGGAGAGAGCCATCGTTCTGAGCAACTTATTGCTATTAGCGTATTACTTGTGGCTACAATATTGTTTGTTGTAATTATTAGTGCAATATTTTATCTAAGAAAACGTTATCACAAATTTGATGAAATATCACCGAAATTACCAGTAAAACCACCGGTAGGAATTAATTGGACTTCATGGAAGTATATTGACGATGACAACAGCGTCAATAGCATATGCTACAAACTTTAAGATCATTCCTGCCTCAATTCAAATATTAAAACAATAAAATCTCTGAACAAAGTATTAACCACTTCCTCCTCAATCATTTCAACTTAACACTTCTGATAAGTGAGTACTGCTTTCCTTATTAGTCGAAAGTATGTTTCCTAATCCATTTCCACTTCATATACTCTAATCTCTCAAAATTTACTAAATTACGTGTTTTTGACTTTGCTTCCTTTTTGGTTATTAAAATTTCTGGCAATTAGTGTTTGACAGTGTAATTAATGTATAAGAGAACTGCATAAACTAAAAATGCAAATGACGATGGTTCGCTTACTTTTGCTAACTAAATTCTGTATGGAAAAAGAAGTTTCTTTTTTATATTTATTTGTTTCTAAACAAAATGTCTTAGTATCAAAAAACAATGCTGTCCTAATATTGATATTTGCATACATTTAGTTGCATTTAAATTGACAAGATGAATTATTTCGCTTTTTTGTATATCTATTTGATCTGAATTCCTTTTTTAAATTAAAATGACTATTAGGAAAAGTTTAATCTTAGTTACTAATATTAATTGCTTTATTTAACCTTTTCCGATTTTCCTTTTAAGATTCCTCTGAATAACCTTGAAAGAAAAAAAATATTTTTATGAATTTTATACCACACATCTTAAATAACAGATGAAAATACAACAGACTGGATTCACACCTCTCACATGGTTTACACATCTTTGTTCTAGAAAATACCACTTTATGCCATCTATAAATGAATTCTTGTCAATTCAAAGTTGTCATTTCATGTGCAATAAAAACGTAATTGTAACCTGAAACCTTTATTTCATTTCATTTTCGTCTTTATTTTCACTGTAAGAAAGTGACATTACAAAATTTCTCCACTGTCAGTGTAATTTACACAGACGGTTTGAAGTAGTTGTGAGTATCACATTGAAACCAAATCAAAGACTTATTGTTTTCAAAATCGGCTAAAAAGTTTACATAAAGTATTAAGTTCAAAATAATAAGTTAAGTAAGCACGCAAATATACTTACTTCAAGATATTCGTTAGATAAATTCCAGAACTTCATAGGAAAACAAATGATTTTTACAAGTAAATATACGTTCTTAAAAATGGTTTTCTTGAACTACGAAGCGAAATAGCAGAGCGTGAAAAACAAACAGATAAATGTACGAATAATGAATACAATCAAGATAAAATACAAGATGTAAATTCAATCCAAAGTTTGTGTCTGAACCAACAAATTTTTCAACTTTTTTGTCTTAGTTTGCTAAATAAGTGTAACAACTCATTTAATGAATTAATCAATTAATCAACTAATCGTACGCTGAACACGTGACTTACGACAAATGGAACAAATAAAAACCTTTTATCTTTGCTTGATCATTAATGGCATATATACTTGTTACTGAAATTTAAAATTGCTTTTGCACAGAGGAATCAGAGAAGAAAAGAGATGACAATAAAAAAACTGAAAATGATAAAAATTGATGGCTTAGCAATGAGGTGTGCTTAGACACTGCATTGCATTTAACGTGAAAAATAGACCTTTTTTAGTTAAACTACTCTCTTTGAACTTTTAAATTTTAGACAAATTTAGTAACCTTATACACAGAAATCAACATTTCATGTTATGCACGTTAAATGCAATGCTTAAATATTTTCGACAGTATTTAAATGGTAGCTCGACAACAACCATCATTATGTAATACATTTTACTCTGCTTTCTTATAGATTCGTTTTGCAACTACACCTTCTGATTCACATTTCTGAAAAACTTTTGACCCTAAAATTCTGTATTTATACGATTATATGCGCATTTTTTTCATAAATTTTAATTTATGCCTTTTGCTTCAAGCACAATCATTAAATTATACTTTTCATTTCAACTTCTCAAACGCATTTGTCTTTAGTCTTATTTATCTCTGAAATCCTTTCAATAATTTTTTTCTATGACGAAAATTAAAGAGCAATACCTACGACAAAAAAGTAATTATTGCAAAAGCAGATTTAGTCACAAACAGCAGATTAATTCCTCTATTTTTTGTAGTAGGAGACGAACACACGAATTTTGCGTTTTTTTCCATAAACTGCACTTTTTTTACAAATAAAATAATTAAAATTTTAAGTAAAACTTGTAAACCTACAATGATTAAGCGGCCCTGTTCGTCGATATAACGCTCAAACCTACTTTTCTTATATTCCGGTTGGACTGGTTCTTCGATTTGAACCAAAACATCATCTTCGAAGAAAAATATGCTCTAAAATCAAAGCATTTTAATGAGTACTGAATTTTTATCATATGTATTACTCCTTTATCAATATGTCAACAAATTATATGTAATGTTTTCAATATGTCAAATAAATGTCCAAATTAATAATTTTTGTGACAAAATTTCATGTTTGATAAAAATAAACATACAAATAAAACATATTAAGTGATCAATAATTATGAGCAATCATAGATTTTACTTTCACTTGTCGTCCATCAGCTGTTGTTTCATTGAATTCTTTTCCAAGTTCGAACTCCCAAACATGCTTTCTGAAGGTTGATTCACTTACGATTTTCCACTTATTGCCTTCTACGGTAAATGTCAATGTCGGTTTCACATTTCTAGCAATACCACGCGTTATCATTCCGACACCTACAAAATAACAATTTAAAGTATTATCCGAGCATTTTTAGTATATTTGAAGGAACACAATACCTTTTCTCAGTTCATAATTCCATACATAAAATAATTAAATAAGGTATGTGCTAAGCTATCTGCCAAGTACACTCATGTGATTCTTCGTAACACTTCATGAGTCAAACAAATCTACTCAAGTAAAGAACTGATCAAGCAAGCATACGAAATACATACCAATTTGCTTCAGATAAGCATCGAAATTCTCAGAATCGACAAGGTTCCAAGAGCCAACAAAATTTTCAGCCGACATTTCTGGATCAATTTGATTGTATTGATCAAAACGTTGTAGACAAACACAGTACAATCGCCAAAACTCTACTGCAACCAAAAATCGAACATTTCAATGATGAATAATAACTAATAAAGCGTTATTTCTACGTTCATAAATCTGACACATGTTTTTGTTAGAGAAATACTTAAAAAAAGATTTATTGCGGTTAACAATGATTGTTATCGAATTAAAATACTTGTCTACACAAAAACTTCACTAACAAATATTAAATAGTAACACTGCAAGTTTATTGGCTTTTAGTGAAAAGTTTAAAAATATTCTTAATTAGATAAATTTTCAAAAGCATTTCAGTTATTCCGATTTTAGATTAACGTAATGCTAACTCTGATATGATAATAAAGGTTATAATACAGAACTCGTGATTAGGAATGAAGGTCAATCAGTGAAAACTACTATCGCGAACAATCATCTTTATATTTGCATTTCCAAAAAGGAAAGGCTGATAAAAAAAGAAAATCGATGCCTTCATTGCCAATTTTAAAATTATTTACTTTTCCTGTTACTGGCACTTTTTTCCTAAACATCTATCTTCATTTCAAGTAGCAACTTCACCTCATATCGAGAACAAATACGCATGCAAAATTACGAGAAAGCGAAAAAAGTACACGCGACAAAAGTAGCGCAAAACGTTTTTCCAAGTACTGACAAAAAGAAAGTCACAGACTGTAAGAAAATCCATATACTACAACATTGCCATTTTTCCATGGAAGCAATGCTTCCTATAGGACTCATCACAGCAAACTGGAAGGAAAAAGTTGTTAGCAGAGCTGCAATGACTGATATTTGAAGTGATATAATAATATGCAAACTGGTGATAATATCTTAAGTCTAAGCTTAATGCATTTACTGATGCATTCTCAATCATAGAGCTAAGAAGTTTTCTTGTTTATTACTTTTACATCAAAAGTAATTAAGTTTGTCTTCATCAAATTTCGTTTACAATGCATTAATTTGCTGATAAGTCAAACAGATCTCATCCTTTGCTCATTGCAGTAAGTACATCCAAAATTGAAACTTGTGTATAATTAAGGTCTGGAGAAGAGAGAACCAAACAAACAGCAATATTAAAAATTTGCTAGAAAAAAGACTGACATATATTTGCACATAGCTTCCAGCATTGGTAGAATTAATGAACTTGCTGCTGTTTGGATGATAGAATCCTGCAACCAGTAATAAAAACATAACATGCACAATTCAACTTCTAAGTAAACAACAGAGATTGCTATGATCACATCAGATCAAACATTCACTATATTAATGACATGATTTGACCAACAGTCATCTTGTATTTTGTTTACTACGTCAAATTTATATCACCGAACACAAAAACACATCACTAACACTTGCACAAATACTTTTTTGAAATTCATTTAAAACATCCTTATAATTGCACTGAATATTAATCACTTCCGAACTAATTTTCGAAAATATAAATGCATGTTAGAAATTCGAATGTTTAACGCAGGAAGTAACTGGAAAAGTGACATTTCCAGACTTTAAAACAAAAAAGTGTAAGTCTTTAATACTTTAATTAACAATGGATTTGATCATCCACTTCTAATTAAGGATAAAAAACATATAACACAATCAACTATGCTGTTCAGATAAAATCAAAGCATACCTCAGAGTATCATCGTAAGATTCTTAATATAAGACTTGCATCACATCAAGCAATCTGTCAAGAATACCTAATACTAATGGAATAATATAACAGTTGCCAGAATGTCGCAGTCAGTTGAAACTGTCTGCATTACTACTAGAATTCTCCAAACACAAAACTTGGAACGCTGCAGGCCCATTACTCTCATTGACATTGACACAGAGAACTGATAAATCTTCGAAAAAAATGTAACTGCAATGGTAAACCTTTTCAACATGTAGACATACAACTCTTTAATTAAAATTCATCCATTATTCTTAAGTATTTCTCAAGATGGTCCCAAGCACAGATAAACTCTTTTAATAATATGAAACTATGCCTAATTGGTGTTCAATCATTATTTATACTTACTTCAAGAATCAAGCACTGAAATACTTTCATAGAGCGTGTAAAGATATGAGATGGAATTAATCTTTCCAACAATTAGTCATCTTTCAGGAATAGTATATCTTGTAGATACAAAATTCCAGCGACAACATTGATAAGTACTGTAAGTGCTCTCTTGAATAAGCTTTATTGAAGGAATTACTAACCTCACTACAAAATGAATAGTGAAAACGACGAGAAAAAAATTTTACATAGAAAAAAACATGTAATGTCGGTAATTCAGAACAATAATTCTACAGCATCAACAAGTAGTTTCCAAATCACGACTCAATCTGGATGAAGTCATAACAAACTGATAAGATCTTGTAAAACGAATGCTTGAGAAATAAACGCATCAACACACATATACGCAGAAGAGATTCTTACCATCATAATTTCATATAATACCGAAAAGATATACAAAAAGTACAGTAAATCACTGAACACTGAGAGGGCAAACATTTATAATACAGTATAACAAATACAGAGCTTATTTCTATTTCGCAGAAAAAACAAAAGTTTTACAAAGTTTTGAAGTGTTGATGCTATCAACAATTTGCAGTTATACAAGCGTGAACTTTTGTACAATTCTTTTGATTCAAATCTTTGAATTCATTACACTTTATTAATACAAAAATGGCAGCACTCTGCAATCAACAAATGACAAAGAAATTTTCTTTCCTCAAAAGGTTTCAAAAGTTTTCATACATCAGTTCACCAACAATAAAATATGGAGGGTCAAAATAGCATATTGATCAGTATCTGGGTGAGCAAAATAAAACTAAAGAGTTGCCAGCAATCAACCAAATACAAAATACGCTGAATAAGCTACACCAAATATTCATAATATGATGATTGGCATGGCATTCATAAAGCACAAGACATACCTTCACAAGTTGTATTTTTAGGAGCTTACCAAAAGAGAAGTTACTAATAGTATGCAATGAAAAACAACTCTAACTTCCTCGAAGAATAATTAAAAGAAAAAATATGATTAACAGAGATCTTGGAAATTTCACCAGATTCAGGAACATTTCATTCTAATCTAGTTTTCTATCAGAACTTGAAGCTATAATTTGATTTTAAAAAATTTTAGCTGACAAAATATCATAGAAATAGAGACAATGAATTGGCAGAATATCACCAATAATTCATCTCATATTGAATAAGAGTTAGTATCGTAACCTTACTAAAATACAAAGTTCCGCTTTAAATACCCGAACGTAAAAAAAATACCAATGATTGCCAAAATTCGGTACCACTGGTCAAAAACTACGTAGTCTCCGATTCTGTGGGTATTGCGGAATCGTATACTGTATCATTGTCGCGAGTTTCCGATTGCAATAAACACTGTCTGTCAAGTGATCCAGCGCCGCAATCGCAAAAAAAACTAGAAATAAAATAATAAAAGCTGAAATCTTACAGATCATAAAAAATTGTTTAAATATTGTTTAAAAATACGAACAATTTCAAAAATACTTATGTACTCAGACGAATTAAATAAGAGTGAAATTGATCAAAATGAAATTTATAATCAAAGAAAATAACGAAAAGATAATCAATCAAATCACACTATTTTCACATGATTCGTACAAAAAGCGCTAACCGATCATGGCGAACAAATTCCACAATGTGTCCTTTATGACAAGCTTTTATACAACTGATACAAATCGCATTACGTTCCGTTGTATTGCAACTGAAGCACCTATAATGTTTGAAACTTTAAATAAACAGATCTGTATATTTATGAGTTATGGCTCATACATATAATCAAATATTTTGGCCTGCCGATATATTTTTTTGTGAATTGATATTTTTATGGACACTGCAAACGCCTGAATGAATTAATTCAATCAATTACCAAAAACAATGCAAAGCAAAAAAAAATCTAAACGAGCATTATGTACACACTTTTTCTCACATAAATGACATTTCATATGAAACACTGTCAGCACTTGCACTCGTATTTTAAGATGACTAATAGGCATTACCTGTAAAAATCATGCATTGGAAATGAAGTACATGAACTGATCTTGAATAAGCAATGTCCCTTAGCGACTGTTCGCTCAACAGCATTATGATTATCATAAATGAGGTTATCACGCATATTTGGACGAACATCACTTGCTAAACATAAACCTAAAATAGCAGTAGTATTACTTTATAATATATGTATGACAAGATTATATCTCCTTATGACAACGATTTTTTACTACTGGATAAAATTACATTAAAACTGGACCGGTTCTGATAATATGTGCAAAGGAAATACTAGCAAAATTTTTTTTAAAATTACCAAAACTACATTAAAATAACATTTTAGAAAACAAACCTCCAAATTCATTTTGAAACAGATGGTTTGCTTCTAGAGTAGCATTAGCACCACTAGTGATTTCGATACCGGCAGCACGCCCTTTGTAAATTCGATTCCGCCGTAGAACAGGGTGAGATTCCGTCGAAATCAGCACACCTGCCTGTGCATTTCGGTAGATTTCGTTATCTTCTAGCACACCACGACCCTAAACAAAAGTATATAGTAGTTTTGTGTCACTTTAGTTTCATTTTCAATCAAGCTACATACAAGATAAACTGATATTATAATATTTTGTACCAGCAATGGTAACAGTGATCCAGCAAGCATATTATACAATAATTAGAAATGAAATCAACAGAATATCTCTTCTATAAACAGATCAATATATTTGATTTTGTAAGAGTAGACCTAACCTTTAAAAAATCAACATAGATTAAATGGTATTATTGAATACTAAAGTACACAATATTGATTTTAAAGTTAGAGATAACTCATTAAAAAATAAACCTTGTTGAATATACAGATTCCTCCATCGCGTCCATCGTAAATTTTATTGCGTCTCAAAACTGGATTGCTTTCTGTTTTTATCCAAACACCTGCCATTGCATTATCGAATATCTCATTATCTTCCAAAACACCTTTTCCGCAATTGTATACAAGTACACCACCATTCTGACCGCCCCAAATTTTATTGCGAGTAATCTTAGGATTTGATCCTGTTCTAAAACTTATGGTACGTTAGAAAAAGATAAAATTATTAAATGAATTTAACCATATAAAATAGATTTGAAAACTGTATAAAAAGAATATTAGTCATAACTCTGTATTCAAAAAATGTAAAAATTTTTCTATGAAACTGGAATTATAAGAGTATCAAAGAAAAAAAGAGTGGGTATTTTCACAAACTCTCGCATCAAATTACATTAAATGAAACACAGTATCACATAGACATTTTACTGGAATTACAGTGAAGAGAAAACCTGATTTGCACGCCAGAGTATAAATGATTGAAAATATCATTTTCTTCTAGTAAACCATGGCCATTATCATAGAAATATACTCCAACCTAACAAATTAGGCAATTAGGGAATGAATAAGATTAAATTTCAAGTAATCAAATTGTTAAATTCTGCAACTAAGAAGATAATTTTTCTTCTGTTACAAAAATAAAAATTTTCTGTGACTATTACATCATTATTACCAGTAATCAATATTACAACATTTTAATCAATAGTAAACTATTCAAACCTATTACTATTTGTGAACACAAAATAGCGAAGTCCGTATGTTAAGCAATGCTTTGCTGATAATGCAAATGCATTTATTTGTGTTCATTTATTGTCTGTAATCGTTCATAATTAGATGGCATTTTAAAACACACAGACCTGTTTACCGGAATGTATGCGATTCTTTCGCAATATTGGGCAGGATCCGGTGGTGACCCAAATACCCGCAAGTGCATTTCCGTAAACCTCATTTTCTTCAATTAATCCTTTTCCTTTTTCGTGCTGCAAAACCAGTTATTTGCTATGAATAACTTTTACTTAATGTGCCATCTTGTTAAAATTGCGACAAAAAAATTTCTTGAAATTTCTCAAAGATATCAACAAAGCATTCAGCACTGTGATCGACAAGCTACTAAAAACATCAAAAATACTGCCCATTTTGCTATTTTTTTAAACAACAAATCAAAGAATATTTAATTTTACCTACAAATCTATTTATCAACCACAACCTAGATATCCCTGTTACTGATGATAGATTACACCGCAATTAAATGCAAGTAGAGTGTTTAAACAAATTACATACCCTGATATTACTTGTATCTTGTAATTATTTACAAAGTAAAGTAATGACAACGATTAGCTCTAGAATACTGCAAATAATGATATTTCATCATAAAAATTATTTTGCAAACAGTTACAATCTGCAAAGTAACCTTCAGAAGCAAATAAAAGCCATAATCTTATTAAATTTCCTTCATTACCCAAAAAAAAATAACCTACCACATATATGCCACCATGATATCCACTATGTATTTTATTGAGCCTGACAATTGGATCAGAACCAGTACGTATTTGAATACCAGCCAGATTATTCTGATAAATATTATTTTGTTCAATAAGCCCACGCCCTTCACCAAATACATATACACCTCCTTGAAGACCAGAAAAGATTTCATTCTTACGAACAGTTGGATCAGATTGTGATGTAATCCAAATTCCTGCGAACTGATTAGAAAATATTCGATTTTCTAAGAACTGACCTCGTCCTGTAACATGCAAAAAGGAAGTAAGCATAAAAATCTTTGTAGAATATCGTATAAAAAAATCATGCATATGTATGAGATCTGTTCGAATGTAAACTGTACTGAAATTTTTACTTGAGAAAAAAACATTTAACTAGATCAGTAAATTGTATGTCGTAACAACATTTTTGTAATGAAATTATGCAGCATTTTTACATCAGTGCAAACACACAAAAAACTAACCTCTTTCGTGAATATAAATCCCACCAGTTTGTCCATGATGTATATCGCAACGAACAACAGTTGGATTCGCCTGATTCTTCACTTCAATTCCCGAGATTCGATTACTGTGAATATCACATTTCTCAAAATAGCCCTAAATAAATACGTAAAGTGAACTTAAACAAAGACTGCAATTCTTAAATTGCTAAAATACTCGAGAGTAATATACACACATTTCTTAACGCTATCGAATAGATGAACAATAAGACTAAAGATATATTTATCAAATACCATGCAACGAAAATGCATGAAATTAACTCAATATCTGAGTACTAGGTCATCTAAAAACTACAAGTCTCAAGGCCATTAAACAGTACAAATTAGCACTCGTCAATAAGTTACAATTAAAGCTTCGCTATAAACCACAAAAGATTGTTGATTTCTCGATGCTTGGATTTTTACAAGTTCCACTACGATTTTAAATCCCTTTTTACAGACTTACTTCCAAATTATACTCACCATTCCATATTCAAAAGTAAAAACACCAACATCGCGACCATCGTGAATATGACAACGCCGAAAGTATGGATTTGCTTTATTCTTCACCCAAATACCTGCTAATGTGTTATGAGCGATTTCACAATCCTCATACGTTCCGGTAGCGCTATCAGTAATATAAATTCCGACATTATCAGAGCCACATATCGAACAGTTTTTGATATGCGGGTTTGCTCCTTCACGCTTCACACAAACTGTAGCGCCTCCTTAGAGCATACAACTTGTTAGCTCTTATACGGAAGTTATCCACTAATTTGCAATTTCTTGTATTTTTTTATTCACTTAATTTATATCTTGAAAAAAGAAAATTCTTATATTAGATAAAACCTGTAATTTTGCTTATATTAAGCGTATATCATTTCCGATCTTTGTTTCGAATGATTTAGACGTATAAATTTTACTGGAAATTTTTAGCACTGAAAAAATTAACCCCAAGTACTTGTACACTAAAAAGGGTATAATGTAATTTTACATTCGAAAGCAGTCCATTTTTCACAATGTAAAAAATATTGAATAATCAGGCGAAAGTTAACACCTGAGCCATCAAACTGATTAAAAAATATGGAAAACAAAAAGTAACAAACAAACCTGAGCTTGTCGAAGAAAAGTTGCAATTTTCAACTAGTGGAGAAGCAAAAGCACTAACAACAAGAGCTGAATGGAGCTGTACAGCTTGTCCACGAGCTGGATCAATCGAAGGCGCAATATATCTCACTGTGCAGAAGCCAAGGTATGATTTTCCGGAACCCTCGGCAAATGTCATTGTTGTCCCTTCGCTACCCTCAATAATAACTGAATCTTGAAAACTATGTGATGAGCCTGCAAAAAACTCAGTTTCAATTTAAAAGAAGTCTGTAACTCAGTAATATGTTCTTTGAGTTTTTTTCAATAACAATGTGATGATTGTTGATCAAAAATGCAAATAAATGAAAGTTTTATGTCCAAAATCTCTTGATTTCATATTGAAATAATTTAAATACAATTTTTGCATCTGTGATCAAATGATATATTGTTCTGTAAAAGCATGAAATAAATTTTAAGATTTTTCTCATAACAAGAGATCATTTATAGGCATATACTACAAAATGATTTAAAACAAAATGGAATACGAAGCTATATGCAGTAATAAAAGCAAATACACATGTTTTTATCAAGAGAACAAAGATTCAATTTTAGTTTCAGTGAAATAAATCAGACCTGCTCCAATTATCTGCAGTGGTGTATTAGTCACAAAATGTACTTGAGAATGAATTCCCGAATGAACAAAAATAAGATTTTCTGAGTCGGTTAAATTCTGCTGACATTGTTCGACCGCACGATTAATATGATCAAAATGGACTATGTTGCGTCCACTACGGTTTCCATAAATGTGCGCTCTACCAGAACTTACATGAATACCATGACGCTGAAAAATTCTTATCATAAAACAATTCATTTTAACATACTGCCACAAAATGATGCTAATGCGACACACAGAAAATCTACTGACTTCCGAACAGACAGTTTTAAACGTGAGACAAATTGAAAATGAATAAAGAGCAACATGACATGTCACACAACAAGAGGAAAAAAAAAGATGAAATCTAGAAAACTTGAAAAAATCTAACAGCAAGGGAGCTTGCAAAGGCTTATACACCTGATATATTTTGCTCTTTAATTTTTTCACACTCATCTTTGCCAAATACTTACCAACTGACAGAAACTTGCTTTCCACGGATTCCTAACATTTTTCCACAGGCCAACTTCTCGGAATTCGAATTTACATGGTTCCGGATGATAGAGAGGTATTTGATACTCGAAAGCCTCCTGATACAGCCCTTTCCTGAAATAACACTTACAATGTCACGACATTCGGTAAACGTCAAATCAATATAACTTGTAATTGAGGTTTTAATGTTAGAATCAGAAATAATAAAAATACCACGAACAGCACTAGAGAAAAAGTGAAGCAACGTGGTTGAGTAAATTATCAGTTATATCATCTCTTGAGAATTATAAATTACTATCATACATTTATATAAAAACATGTTTTTATGTTTCTATATAAATGGCTGTACGTGTTTTCAATATGTACAGCCATAAATTTCCTGCTATTTCTTATACTTCACAGAATAATGAACTAAAAATGGAAACTAAAGGTAAGAAACAAATAATACGCATGAAATTTTATTCACATTTCGTAAGTAAACGTACCATAAATTTAAATCATTCGACAAGCGGTAAAAACGATGCGATACGGTGGAACATGCCATGAGATCGCCTTCGTAAAGATATGAATAAATCTACAAGCTCACATGTTTTGGAAGAAAAACAGCAAAAACGCCAAAATGAAATGATATGGCATTTAGAAACTATCATTTTGGAAATGAGTAAATAGAGCAATGTCAGACCATACTTTCATGAAAATCTCATCTGGTAAAACTTCGATTGATGAACTGGATGTAACAAATTCAGAAGATCGGTGGGTGCTGCAATTTGATCGGAGAATAAAGTGTTGCGAAATATTATCTTTCAAAAATAAGCGTAAGAAGAAATTTCATACATCTATCATTGAAACTCTAATGCATGGAAACAAATTTCCCATTCCGTTTCAAGTCACAAATGCAATTAACTTCTTATTATGAATGTCATGCTATAAGTTGAAAGGTATTGCAGAATAAATGAAAAATAATAATTCTTAAGCAATGTAAAGAATTAGAAACACTATGTCGAAATCTCGGACGATATCTCAACATTACAATAAATGGAATTCAAAGGCAAAAATGATGAGTTTTAAATTTCGCAGATAACAAAAGTCATACTCGCCACACTTATCACAGTTGCAACGCAAACACACATCTCTTAAAAGCAGTGATTTCGACAATATCCTTTCTTAAGCGTTAGAAAATTTCTTGCCTATTTAATAAGAACCCAAATATTAATGACAAAAGCTCGTTTCAAGAAACAAACAACGATCGCACACACCTGCTTTGTGTTTCAGATGGAGGATCAGCTTTAGTTCTTTTGTACTGCGGTCCTAACGTCTGAAAAAGAATTACATTTGTATTCCAATCACAATTGAACTTTCTTCATTTTCAATATATTTGATTTATGCAGCACTAAATACAGACGGGAAATAATGCTGACTTCATTTTTTTATCTCCAAATTCTTAAAAGAAACAAAAACTTCATTTCTTTAATAGTTGGAATAAACTTGCAGTTTATCTAAGCATTTTTTAGTAGGAAAAACTCTTTATTTTAAATCGCTTGACTAAAGTTGTAGTAGCTTTACGACACTCTAACTGAAGCAGTGACTATGTTTTTGAAATAAAAAAGCTTTGTTAGTACTAGTGCGTGGGGAATTTTAAAAGCATGAGCTTACTATGCTCGGAGATTTTAAAAAAGTGATTTAATAATCAAATGGCATATGCAAACACAAGTATTACATGCAATTCTACGTAAGGAGAAATGCAAAACTCTTCGAAGAAATTAAGGAAGATTGGCTTTGATTGCGAATGACATAGCGATCGAGGCACACTTCTCTACAAGACATGATCATGCGATTTTTCCATCACTTTCGGGTCATTTTCTATGGAACAGTTGCATGAGTTATGACAGTACTGTATATTAAATGGTCAGAAACTTTGGTATTCCAACCAACAAAACATCAAAAACAATCGGAAAATTCTGTTTGCGTTCAACAGAAAATGTATCTATTGCACGTTCGTCACTACAACAAATGCACAAAATATCGATCAATCAATTAACCAATCAATCAATCAGTTAGATGTACTTCCGAAATCCAGTCTTACCAGTGAAGTCCAATAACGAGACAATAAAGAGAAGATGTTTAAGTTTGAAAAAGGAGATGAGAAAAGATAAAGGAGGTCACCTACCTGTTGCCATCTTTCAGGCAACGATAATTCTATTCTTTGCTCCGCATTAGTACATAAGAAAGCATTGGATATATACAAATATTGATGAGAAAAATGAAATTTAAGTAGTTAGATAATGCCAGGGAGTGAAAAATGAATGTCTTATTTAAATATGTTTGTCAGGGATTACAAGTCTCATTAACTTTTCCTCATGCAAATGCAATGTTCGAAGACTACACAACAATTTGCAACGTGGAGAGAAAGTTTAGATTTTGATGAAGAACTTTAAATTTTCTACTTAATCTTCGATCATCACAATTCCTCAAACAAAGCGCATATCTCTGAAACATTTATAAGTCTCTTCAAAAATAATAGTTTTTTAATTACGGAACATACTTTGAAATTACGACCAATAAAAATAAGGTAAAGAAGTAATATTTGCCTTTTCTGACTACGATTGACTATATATTACCGAAACTAATTAGCTTATCAACTGCAATATCTCAAGTCAATCTAGCAAGTTGATCAAGCCTAAACTTACATTATGCCTGACATATCTCTGATGCTTTCTCATATAATTTCGCGTAAAGCGAAAAGGAACTCGCATTGATAGTTATGTAAATTAAGTTCCTCCAAGCCTATATAAATGATCTATCACAGTCCAATGAAAAGTTCGTTAAATGAACACTGAAACACACACGTAGCAATAACGGCAAACAAAACGATCAAACGATACTGATTCAAAGGCACTTTTTGATCTACCATAAAACTTTTGAATGATAATTGAGCACTAATTTGTGTTTGCAAGACATTCACAAGAAAGTTAATGCTTCTGTTCAAACAAAAACAAGGTTTGGATTATTAATTAGCAAAAGACTAAAGTAATAGCAATGAATTATTTGCCTCACAACTATTAACCAAAAACGCAGAACATCAGTTGAGCAAACCCTGGACAACTACAATAATCCCATATCTATTTCTATGTTTGAGCATATAAGGATAGTTATGCTCCACTTTTTTAGCAACAAAACAATGCATAGACTTTTTAAGGAATGAAGTTATCATTCCTTAAAAATCAAAAAAGTTCATACAAAGAACGCACACCTCGCCATGCTTTAATGATCCAAAAAACAAAGAAATAAGGTAGTTAGAAATAAAACATTGTGCTTGATATTAAAAGGTATAACTAGAGCAAAGAGCTGCAGTATCAGACTACAAATTTTCTTGATACCTTTTTTCTGAGTGTGGAGCCGATAAAATATGCTACAAAGTTGTACAATGGAGCAGTTGTTCTGTTTTCGATTAAACAAAGAAATGGAAATGTGAGCAAATTTTACTCTAGAAAATGAAAAATCAACATACATAATTATTAACGACATGAGTTGTTTAAACCTATAAGTTACCTCGTCAGCAGTTGCAGCCATGATGCTAGTTGTACAGCCATCCTCTTCACCAAGCTGAGGAGACCGACGGCGACGTAATTCATATCTGTGTTAAAACATTAGTTTCTTATTTAAATCAAAAACCTATGTACAGATGAATCAAATGGAAAATAAACTTTATAAATGTGAAAGAACTTACGGTTGTCTAAATACTGTTTACGATTGGCCTAAAAAGTCACAGATAAAAAAAATTGAGATAAGTATGAATTTAACAAAATAATCGTTTGCTGAAAACCAAATAAAGATAACTATTCATTTTTCATATCTTTGGCAAGTTACCAACCTTTTCCTAGCAGCCATTTCAACAATGTCCGTTTGTACAGGTACTGGCTGAAAATAAGAAAGCGAGCTGCTCACAGGTATTGACGTTTGTACTATGGGCGGTTCTGCAGGATCTGCTTGTCCACTATTGCGACGTCGCAGCACTGTAATCTTAATAGAATATAGTGTAAAGGTTAACTGCAGTATGTTTGAAGTAAACAATTTTCTGACAATGAGCGAAAGTCAGATTAATTTTCTTTTCAAATGAAACAAATAATTTTTACATATAAAAATTTTCAAACAAGAGTTAACTGATAAAAACAAAAGATATGAAAATCTGATTGCACTTCATGGCAAAATTTCCATTTTTCTACTAAATGTCTATCGTTTACGATCAAAATTCACCAAACAAATACTAATCAGCAAACTGAATCATTGAAATTCATCAATACACTTTAACACGATTTAACAAAAACAAACCCATGCCATGAAAAATGGTTTTTCGCTTTTTCCCGCGAATTTGTCGATGAAGACTGGCGGACGAATCCGGATTTAAATCGTCTCCTCCATCCGCCATAAACCGCAGGTAATACCTACAAATGTAAAAGCTGATACAAAATGGGCCTAAATTATGCAACTTTAACAATGGCACGATCTCCACAAGTATACAATTCATTACTGACATAAAATTTGATTACCATCACGACCCAAATTTGAAATGAAAAAACGATAGATGTGGTATGATTATACCCAGTGGCGAAACAACATTTCATAATAAAGCAAAGAATTCACCATTTCTACAGCACAGTTCTCAACTATTAGCAAATTCCGAAAAAACAAACATAAATTTATAACACAAGCAAAGAAAGCAGAAATGAGTTTGTAGTGAGTTTAAATAATAAGTTAACAACCAAAAAGATATCCAAAGAAAATGAATCTAGCAAGTTGCTACTGCAATCAACTAATTCGTAATGCACACTAATGATAATGCTAATGAATGATTCGAAGTATAATACTACAGTAATAAGGTATTATGCTGCAATAAAATTCTGGTCAGGTACGAGAAATTTAAGTGAAATTATAGTTGATAAAAAGTAACCAAATTGGTATGCATTTCAATTACTAACCAACCGCCTTCTTTTCTTTTTTCTTTTCTCCTTTTTATTTCTAAAGAAAATTGTTGATGCGACGAATTAGCGAACAGGTTTCATCTCTTTTTTCTATCAACTTTTCCATTACAATCTTGTCCATCCCATCCACTGAAGGATGCTTAACACGGCTTGTTGCTTCTACTAATATCAAATTATATCCGTAGTAATGATTATTCACCACCCGACAAAGCAAAGAAAGAAACGCGTATAGCTCAATGCACATAAATAAGCTCAAAAGTAATCATCCTCAGCCTACAATTAGAGATAAAAATAGGACGTTTCTAATCATTTTATCCCACGATCAAATCAGAATCTAAATTTCGCTTCAATTCTCTAGTAATGATTTCTTTTTCCATCAACATTATCAACAGTTACCTCCACAACTCCGTTTATTTACCAAAATTTATTCTTAATCAATGGCATGGCTTAGCTATCAAATATATCTATATCACAACAACAACATACTATTAGTATAAATATACATGATACAGAGTCGCAATCAGTGTCCATATTTGTTTAGCACTACGCATGGATACTCATGACAGTTTCTATCACCAACACAAGTTTGAATAAATTATTCACTAAATTTATTGCTAGCAAGTACTTCAAGAGACTTTTGTTCTTAACTAATCACAGTAAAACTCAGATTTTTACAAATCAGAAAAATCAACTTTCCTGTGTAAGGTTTACATATATATAGCATTCAATTTTGGCTCATGTTGACTTATATAATTTCATTTTATTCGAGTCACATGTTTCTATACTTAACAACCATATTATGTGATAAAGCCTATAAATCCATTTAAAAACTTACGACTAGAAAAGATGGGAGCAAGATATATATATA